ATATATGGGTTTGAGTGGTTAACATAATATAGTAGCTATTAAAAACAAGAGAGACCCATTAACCTGTTGAGGGAGAAGGTTTAAATGAAAAAAGAGGCCAAGGACAGAATCCTCAGGAATATCAAATCTAAATGAAGGGCAAAGGAAAGGGAACTAGCAACTCAAAGTGAGAAGATACATGGTCAGAGATGTAAGATAAGAAATGGGAGAAAGAGCAGCCTCCAAAGTCAAAGAGGGAAAGAGAGAGAGTGGTCAAGGGTAGCAAAAACCATGATAAGATCAAATAAGATAATGATTTAGACATATTTTCAAATTGGGTAATTAGCAAGTCATTGCTGAGCAAAGAATGACAATTTTATTGCTAGGGTATGAGATGAATAGAAGTTAAACTACAGTTTTTTGATGGAGGAATAGAGGTGATGGAAAGTAGGCAAATGAATAGACTGTTCTTTCAAAGAGTTTGCCTGAATATCCAAATCCCTCTCCTCCAAATAAGAGGAGGCCTCTCCTGGGCTGGCCTGGCCTGTGAACTGGCATAGAGGGGAAGGGGGGTGGGAGTGGGTCTTGTATCCACAGTTGTGAAAGACATTGAAAGCAGAGGAGTGTTCAGAGTTGAGAGTGAAGTGGGAAACTGACACAAGTAGGCCTGATAGGGGAGTCTGAAATGGTCCCCACAGGAGGAACCAGAGCTACTGTCTGAAGCTGGATTAGAAGATCAGGAATAAAACAGTGATATAGGGAGCTCTGGTGGTGTAGGGCCTAAAGCATTTGACTACGAACCAGAGAAGGCTGATGGTTCAAACCCACCAGCCACTCTTCCAAAGGAAGGTTAGGCAATCTATTTCTGTAGTGATACCACCTCGGAAACCCAAGGAGGTGTTGGATCTATGTGTGCTATGTGTTGGATCTGGCAGTGAGTTTGGTTTACTCAAGAAGAATGAGTGGAGGAGGAGATTATGCTGTTGGGCCTGTACTTCAAGGGATTGATCAGAGGCGCAGGATCAGTGAAGGCAATGGGGAAACTAATAAACTGAGAGAATGAGAGAGGAAAAGTCCTGGATGTTGTGATGGAGTCTCAGGACAGATACAATAGAAGTAAGGCAGTAGGAGAGCTACAAGATTAGCAGGTGGTGGTTCCAGAGGAAGAACGTTCCAACTGACAATGTCTGAGGCATGGTCATGGGAGTGGGTCAGTGATGGGACACAAAGATGAAAAAAAAAAAAAAAACCTCACTGCCACTGAGTTGGATCCAACCCTTCCTTGGGTTTCTGAGGCAGTATCTATTGCCCAGACTTCCTGCCAAGGAGTGGCTAGTGGGTTTGAACCACCAGCCTTCTGGTTAGCAGTCAATGCCTTAGGCACTATGCCACCAGAGCTCCTATAAAGATGCAGGTGCTTGGAATTGAGGAAGTCAAAGGCCTAGGAGGCTGTAGTGTTGGTAGAATCTTTCTCATGAGCACTGATGTCACTCAGGATGATGGCAGGAGTAGTATTCAAGGGAAACAACACAGCTAAGTCCTTAGTGAACACAGAGGAGCAGCCAAGAGTATGACAGCCATCAGCAATAAGAATTGAAAGGACAAAAAAAGCTAGATGAGGTAAACCTCAAAGCAGGAGGGAATTTTGCATGGGAACTCTGGTAGCATAGTGCCTAAGGCACTTGACTGCTAACCAGAAGGCTGGCGGTTCAAACCCACCAGCCACTCCTCGGAAGGAAGATGGGGCAATCTACTTCCATAGTGATACTGCCTTGGAAACCCAAGGAGGGGTCGCTATGAGTCGGATCCGACTCGACGACACATACCAACAAACCAACCAACATACATGAGTATACGTTTGATGGGGAGCTCTGGTAGCATAGTCCCTAAGGCACTTGACTGCTAACCAGAAGACTAACAAACAGTTCAAACCCACCAGCCACTCCTCAGAAGGAAGGTTGGGCAATCTACTTCCGTAGTGATATCACCTTGGAAACCCAAGGAGGGGTCTCTGTGAGTCCAGTCTGACTCAACGGCACATAACAACAACAACAATACATGTGATAGTGGAAGTTGGGATTAGAAAAGATATTTTAAACTCCGCCTGAGCATGCTGTATGTTTGAATGAAGTAGTATACTTGAGGTAGGGGCAGAGTGGAAAGTTATATTTCAGTGAAAGCAGGAAAAGGAGGAGAGATAGTCTTGACTATATATTTATAAAGAACTATATGCTGGATTATCTATATGAGGATTATCTTTTATTTTCTACTAGGACTATTGAATTAAGGATTTCCAGGGAATCACAAAAGACAATTGTACTGTCTGGGTAGTATTTAATATGATCAGATCTTAAATAAGAAGCCATGAACATAAACATTTAAAACCAAATATGTAATAAATAATCATTAAGTTATAAAATACATAATTCACATTAAAACTAAATTCTCAGATGCAAATGTAAATACAATAGCACAATAATATAAAATAGTAATGCTACAATTTTATACAATTGTCCAAAAAAGGATACCACCAGCTAAAATAATAAAAATCATGATTATTTCTTCCTGAATTCCTGTGATATACAGCAATATTTGGGGGGGGCGGTTAGGAAAATTTCCCTGATTTCTGCACTGGATTTTGCTACAAATGCAATTGAATAATATTGAGCAACTGAACTTCAGATTCAACAGAAAGTTTTACACAGAAGGATGGGTAGATGTTCCTTGAAAGTACTCAAAACTTTAGAAACTCACAGATACACACAGTTCTAAAGTAAAAATAGCCCTTAGAGATTAAGTCTAAAAAATTAATGGGAAAAAAAAAATTAAACAACTGACAATGATTTTGCAGCCAATAAGAATTCAGATCTATTGCATCATGGTCCATACAGTGAACAGTAATGTTCATAGGTTAGCCTTGTATTCCTTTTATAGACTGGCTAAGTCTTGAACAAAAAACTGAAGATGAAGTGTCAAGTCTCATTTCTTCATTTTGTATATTCTGATGTGCAGCTCTTCTTTGGAACTCTGGTAGGATCTTTTAAATCTCATTTTTACCCATGTTTTAGTGAAGACTCTTAGCCAACATTCCCATTAAGTTATTTTTACTGTTAAGGTAGAGACCCTTGTGAAAGGATTACAACAGAGATTTCTAGCTGTACACACACCAAAATAAATACATTATTTTAAGTATAAAATCACACTCTCACAGAAGTCAACAACTTTAAAACCAGAAACAAGAAATACAAACTCCATCTTTCCCAAGGACAACTTTGTGCCTGTTTTCAACTTTTATTCCAATAACCTTGCTGGCACTGTTTAACACATAGGCAGCTTTAGAGCCATATTAACGTTATTGTTGTTACTTGCCATTGAGTTGATTCGGACTCATGAAGACCCCATATGAGCACAGTGCAGCTACTCTATAGGGTTCTAAAAGCTGTGGCCTTTTGGAAGAAGGTTACCAGGCTTGTCTCCCAAGGCTCCTCTGGGTGGGTTTGAACTGCCAACCTTTTGGCTAGTGGTCGAGAGTTTAACTGTTTGTGCAACCCATTATTAGACATATATTTAAATAATTCCTTTGTAATAAAATCCTAAAATTTTAAAAAAGTGTCTTGTTTATGATGACAGAACATTTTATTGAGATTTTATGAAATAATTTATTCTTAGTATATCTTTTAGAACTATGAATTAAGTCTCTACTTATTTTAAAAACACTCTTAAGTAGGTAATTTTTCTTCTCAGGGCATAAACATTTCCCATCCTCTTGCACACTCATAACCAATTTAACAATTAAAGATTCTCAAATAGCTTATAAAATTCTGGTAAAACTTTTATTTTTCTAGAGTTTTTAACTTCATATTTAAACAAACACTGCTGGAGTCAATATGAAATGGCACTTAGAGCAGTTTGCTTGTTTATATAAGACCTATGGTTGAAAGATTAGAAATTTTATGCAAAAAGTCTGTTTTCTATTAAGACAGAAGTTCTAGCCTCTGGATTGGTCTCCTGATTTTGATTTTATACAAGTGATTGAATTTGCTTTATCCAGCACAAAGTGTCTAAAATGCTTAAAATGCTTTGCAATTTCTTCTTCATAGGAGAAGTTTCATTTAAAAAGAAGAAACAGACAGACAGACACTTGGTATTATTAACTCTTTCCCATGTGATAATTACAGCAGTTTGAGAAGAGAGCTACAAGACATTTTTACCTCTATTTGGTTCCAGAAGATCACCTGGTGTATATCCCTCCATAGTTTTTAACTGCCATTTCCTCAACCTTAAAATAGTAGCTTATAAGGGGACTTGCAGTTGAGAAAAAGTAATATTACACTCACTTCTTAAATAATACCCTATTCCTACTTTAATAATAATAAAAAAAAAGACTGAAAGAGTCTATTTCATAAATATGCTCACATTTATAGTATTTAAATATTTTAATAAATCCCAATTAAAAGTAAGAATTTTTAGTAGATATCTAGAAAAGCTATCCTCCTGGTGCATAAATAAATTACATACTGCTTATGTTACACATACTGAGACAAAAAGGTAAACTCTTCAGCTATATATTCTTAAACATTTAGTTTTTGTTTCCTCAAAAAAAAGAAAAAAAACCTTAAACTTTTCATTTTGACCCTTTGTGTCTATATTTTCAGACTTGAATAAAAGTATAAAACTTTTAAGTTACAATCATAATAGACCTCATTCATGATTCCCTGGGGTAAGATCATGGTTCCCATAAAATCAGTACATTCTTAAACTATATTTTGATTAAAACATTCATTCAACCCTTACCACCAACCAAAAATGTCATAGTTGGATAACAGGATGAAGTAAAAATGTTAAAAGTCATGAAAATCCATTACACAAGAAATCAGACTCTAAATGTGTTTAAAGTTTTTCAGATTAACCAAACATAGAATATGTGGATCAAACATAAGCATTGCATAATAGTTTTGGGAAAATAATCCTCACTTTGAACACTTATCTGAATATTTTCCCCATTGCTTATGTATTTTTCACCCCCATTTTGAAGACCCAGGAGTGAGTTTCATTACTGTTTTAGAGTATAAAACATAGTGTCCAGCTTCAAGTTAGATGCTCAGGAATGTTCATAATCCCATGGTGTCTAGAAGAGATGCTGATGAATCATCTGTGGAGATAGGATACCATGAGTAACCTAAAAATAAGACACTATGGGTAGGTGAAGTAGAAGATCAAATGTAATATTAGATACCTTTTGGAGAAGTGATTTCAGTCTTTCTAGGAATTCTTTGGGTGGTTTTTTCTCATAAGAATCACATGGAGGACATGCCTAGAAATCAATAAAAGTAACATTGTTTTAAAAAATGTCCTGTTTAATAGAGTCTTGATTTAAATTTATTTTTTCCTATTGAAGACATGAATCACATTCAGTGAAGAAAATTTTGGAAATACATATAACTGGTTAGAAAGTAATGATGGGGAAAAAAATCACGTGTTATCCCACCCCCAGAGATAACCTCTAGTAATTTTTTTCTGTGCATTTGTGGTTGGTAATTTGCTTTTTTTGCATTTAATATATCAGAAGCATTTCCTAGGTTTTTATATTCTTTAAAAATACAATGTTTGGCATTATTGGGGAGCTCTGGTGGCATAGTGCCTAAGGCACTATGCCACCAGAGCTCCCCAACAGGAAATGTAAATTCTAGTTGTCATTCTGCTACTTACTATTGTGAGACTTGGGGCAAGTTATTGAACCTGTTTGGTAGGTCTTACTTTCTGCCTCTGTGAAACAAAGTTTAGTTCTAGCTCTACTATTTTATGCACCTTTGATAGTGGATTTCAAAGACTTGCTTACCTCCATTCTTTTGAGGAAAGTTTTAGAGGGATATTTTCCACTTGGTAACTTGGGAAAAGACTAACCAATGCACCAAGAGAAATAAGAATCATTTTGATAATGAGATTCAAATTTTATTTCATTTGAATCACATGTGAAATTCCTCAGAGGAAAAACTGATTAAAAAAAATAATGGAGTAATTTATTTTACATTGTTTATCCATTAGTTTGATTAGTGCTTAAATTACTCATTGTTGAGTATTGACATTGCTCATGAGTTGGCATAAGAACAGATATATAAGAAAGTCACAGGGGCCCCAAAAATAAGGACTACTGATATTCCCCAGTCAAGGGAATACCATTTAAATTCAGTACTGACTCTGCTTTTGTACAGGAAAATAATGTTCTTTAAGGGAGGAATGCAAAGTGTATTTATTCTGGTCTCTTATAGGCTCTTTTTCCTTGTAGGAACACTAGGACCAAGATCCTGTCAATAAAAATGCAGATTATATATAACTAATGTTATAAGGGAAATATCTCTCATCTCCTAAATCAGATTCTCTACCTGATGACTTTCTCACCTTGGGAAGTGATATTAGCTTCTTCCAACCACTAGGGACTATTCGCAGATTCTAATGCATTTCTAGGCACTTTCAAGTCTGTGGCCTTAAGAGGTTACTGAACTCAAAATGCACCAGGTGTGATGAGGTGTAACTCTAAGGAATGCACCGGAGGGTCCGGCTACAAATGTGTGTGTGTGTGTGTGTGTGTATCTTTGTCTCTGTGTGTCTTTGAAATGTAATAGATATGGCTAACAAGAACAAACAAGAGAGATGAGAAATGACAGTCTTACTAGTCTGCTTTTCTGTTTTTCCCCTGCTTTTGTGGGAGGTAATTTCCTCTTCAGCTGTTTAATTCTCATATTGATTATCTTTTCATGGTCTCCTGCATTTACTGACTTTAGTTGGGCCTTCTGAAAACATGAAAAGGCTGACTGCTCACAGTGTCTCTGAAAGAGAAATAATTGGTAAATATTAATGAAAGTTATTCAGAAAGTACAGGTAACCTCCCCAATCCTCCCTTTCCACTAGTGTCATAGTGTCTTCCACCACAATCAATCCAGCAGATCATTTCACCTCCTATTTAATCTTCAGATGGAGGCTCCTTCATGTAGAGTTCTCCCTGTCTTAGGAGAGGGGATATTACCTGCCTCAGGTAATATCTCACTCTTCCACAGTTCTTTATTCCTAACGCTGGCTGCATTGAGAGCCATGTTAGGATCTAGGTAGTGGGCAAGACCATTGTGTTTCAGGAAGGAGAGTTATTTTGATTTAAGAACACGTTTTCTGAATCATACAGCTCTAAAGTTCCACTGTGGACTGGTGGCAGCTTTGGGTAAAATGTGCTGTAGTCTGATTATGGATTATGTTTCATTCATTTGTTGTTTCTCTCTGCAAATGTACATATCACTGACATGACTCGTGTAGCATTTTATTCAGTATAGCACTTGGCATAGCATCTTGTTACTAGTGAATGCTCAATAAATATTTATTGAATAGGAAAGAATGAAGTAAATGAATTATTGCCCCTCCTTTGGAATTAGAAAGTGAATACCTATGTGCTCTGATGGCGTGTTGCACATCTAAGATTCAATACACCTGTGATATCGACCATGCATTACTTTTGTAGTAGCTTACTCACACATTTAGGTCAATTAGGGTAAGGACTCTGCCTTCAAGCAATCAAGGAATAAAATTTGACACTTGCTCACCCAATAGGAGAGAAGAGAGTTCCCTTAGAAAGGAAGAGAAGTGGCTCAGAGAATGGAGAAGTAGACAAAACAAGATCAAAGATTCACCTTTTGGTTTGGCCAAGTAACTTATCAGAATAAGCCAAAATCTTGGAAATCAAACTGAAGAGAAAATGGATGTTTTTGCAAGAGGAAAATTTGCACTGGCTTGTTACATTTTAAAACTGATCTAAGAACTTATGTCCAAGTAAATTTTTCTTTCAGCAAATGTGTGTATGTAACACTGTTTTCCCCTTGAAGTTGTTAAATCTTGATTTCATTAATATGTATGGAAGCCACTGCCACACAATTAGAAACTTCAACCTCTCCCAGCCCCTGCAAGGGTGGTCCCATATATAGTAATACTACCTGAATCTTCTCATGGACAATCAGCTGAAAATAGAATCTAACCTGCTTTGCATTTTCCAACCCATATTCTTACCCAATATGAATGTTGATTAATAATATGCATCTTTAAGACACAAAACCATCAGGTTTGCTTTGCATATACAGCCACAAACCAAGACCCAGCTTATCTGGTTTCCTTATATCAGAGCAACTTGCTTCTCATAAGGGCAAGGTGGTATCCTTTCCATATGTTTGCCAAAATGCTTATTTAATAGAAACTATTTATAAATGTTAATTATAGCATTTTTTTTTCCTTGAAAACCACATGTTCATATTTGTTGCAGTTTTTTCTTTTCTCTCCTTTTTTGACCACAACCGGCTTAACTTACTGGAAAAAAATAATATTCATATTTAAAAAGGTAAATTTTCCAGCTGAAACTGAAAACACTATGATGATCTGAGAAACCAGCATTTCTCACCGAGTCCTATTTTGCTGAGTTAACATTTACAAGTATATGTTGAAAGAAAATTAGGTTCTAAAGAAATGCAAGAGCCCTACTGAGCTCCCTTGAGAGTTCTTGCCAGGAGTGGCCAAAATCAGTGATCAGAAATTTTACCCCTGAGAAAGCCTTTCTGAAAGTATCTGAATGGCATTTGGACATTGAAGCTCATATTGTTTGGGCTTTAGTATCTTGTTCATAGTATCTCATTCATCTTTCCTTGTTCACCTGTGTTAATAGACAAACTGAAATTGCTGTTGTTTTGTTTTGTTCCTATACAGGCAGAGCTGTCCCTGACAATCTGAGGTTTATGTAAGTATCTGCTGGATTTGACGTTAGATGCACATCAAAGGGGAAGAGAAGGGGAGGAGCATATCTGCTAATTGCCTTAAGGATGTGTCAAGAAGGGGAGTGAAGAAATTAATCTTGATTCAGACAGCTTCAGGAACCCAGACACTGGAGGATTGCCACAAGTACATGCCTAACACCTTCTGGGAGCACAGCCATTGCTTTCCTCTCCTGTTTCTTGGTGACTGCAGACTCTGAGGGCAAGGCTTTGGTTTCTTTCATTCTTTAATACATGAAAATACAAGGAAATGGCTGGTTCTACATTGGTTTTGGAGATTATGGGGAATAAGGAAGTCAGAAGAAAGAGTACAAACCACTCCTCTCTTTAGCCAGAAAATGAGTCAAGTGCTGCTTTTGCAAGGAGGCACATATGGTTTTGATTTTTTTGCAATTGAACATTTGAAAATATTTGACTCCTTAAAGCCTATTTTTTAAGCTACTTACATTTCTTTGCTTTTGCAAAGAAAGCCCTGGTCATTCATGCTAGGAAGTCTTGCAAAGTGGGCAAGATTACCTTTGTCCCACATACAAGCTAGGTTTATGTGAGGGCTGTTTCTCAGCAGTGGCACTATTGACATTTGGAGTTGAATAATTCTTTGTTGTGGGGACTTTCCTGTGCATTGTAGAATGTTTAGCAGCATCCCTGGCCTCTACCCACTAGATACCAGCAGCACATTCTTCCCCGACCCTCCTATTGTTACACCTAAAATATCTCCAGACAATGCCATATATTCCCTGAAGGGTAATATCAATTATTATCTCCAGTTGAGACCCACTGGTTTCTATGATTAGAAGAAAGAAGAGAAAAAGGTGCCTGATGAGGCCAATAAAATATCTGAGATAATCACTACATAAATGCAACAGTTCAATTCATGTATTCATTTTATTTTCATTCAACTTTTCATTTTCTGCAAATCTCTTATAGATCCTACTTTGATGCTAGCCCTGAGAACTTGATTTAATACTAATGTGGCCTTGAGCTATTTTTTTCCTTCCTGAGTTTGCCTGCCAACATATTTTAAAGATCTTAGTTACAACAGTTTTGTTGTATCATAGCCAACATTGCTTGATTAGACTATCAGATACAACATCTCTGAGCCAAAATTGTCTCATTGTGATGTAAAAAAAAAAAAAATCTTTCATTAATAAAGCATATAGAGGAAGTGCCCCTTGCATCAGCTCAAGTCAGACAATGAGATATGTTTCTTATTTTTTATTTTGTAAGTTATAGACTCTAGCTAAGAAGCTCCAGAAAGGACTGTGACTACAGCAATTAAACAAAGTATATGAGATGCTGAAAAATATATGTTTTGATAATTAGGCATAATGATTAAGAAATATTCTCATTTATTGGAAGTCTTTCCAATAAGCTGAATGTGCTACTTTCATTTTAGATGTTGCTTATTAGTAAAGGGCTAGTAAATGAGAGTGGTTAGGTTCAGAGCTAGAGAGTGAGTTTTTAAGAAAAGCAATAGTTGTGACTCATTCACTTTCTAAACTTTTACACACAGTCATTTACGATAATTGTTTTCTTTGCAATGTATCCTCATAAGTCTCCCACTTTATAGTATCCTAATTACTGGTAGCACTTTTATAGTTATTCTTAATTATGTGGTTAAAAGTCTGTGGCAATGAAAACATTTTCCTAATTGCATTTAAACCCTCAGACTATCAAACCAAAAGATCAGATCTAAGCTATAGGGGAAGAGATCAGCACACAACACTCTTGACCTATATGCTGGACCTCATCTTCCTGGGACTTCAGTGGATTTAAATGGCTTAAGAGAATGGGATGGGTTATTGAGAATGGTCCTTTCTAAAGATCATCCCAGAAAGGAAGAGGCAAGACTCACTAAACTAAGGTATATGTGATATTCCTTCCTGATTTCCACTCCTTGATGGTGTTCCTTTAATCTAATTCTTTTATTTATTTTTTTTTTTCAGTTTGCTATTAAGAGATGAAGTCTGCCTCTTATGGTAATATCTAAATCTTTTCTTTTTTTAATAGGATCACAAAGATGACTCAAGAACATTCAGGCTCAAAGGCTCTTAAGATGCAATTAGTTGTTCATTGTTCAGAAATTGATCATAGTATAGATTTATTTTCTAATTTTCTATTTCTGTCTCAAAAATACTACTTGGAAGTACTTTTAGAGATAATAGAAGAAATATCTCTACTTTATGAGAAATGCAGTTTTATTGTTGATTTATTGGTAAATCAATGAATATTAAAATAGAAATAAGTATTCTAACTTATTAAAACATTCATTAAAATCAAGTATCTTCCTAAATAGTCATGTTAATGCTTTTCTTAAGTGGATTAAAAGATCTATATCAAATGTATTTTCAGAAATAAATGAAACTGTTCTTACCTTAACATCTTGTGGAGCTGTCAGAAATTCAGGGTCCTAGAGGGAAAAAAAAATTTAGTTCTGAGTTATTTTTATAAGTCAAGAAGCTTCTTTTATGTCAATTAAATATATTGTTTAAATTTTGTTGTAACAATAATGGTCTTACCATGTCATTCACATAATTTTTCAGCTGATCAACAATATCTATAAGTTGACGCATCCTAATCATGAAACGATCTTGCCCTTGAGAGCTTGATTTGTGGGCCACTGTCCCAGAGAAGATGACTACCAGGCAGAAGACTATCCTTTCCATGTTGCCAGAATTTGATCTCATAAATGCCAACAGTAGAACAAGACCTTGGTCTTGTTTTCACTTCAGTTTGACAGTGAACAGGTTGTCACTAAAACTACCTATTTATTCATCCTTCAGGGAGAGGTAAAACCCTCCCATTGCAGCCTGGAAATCTTTGTAAAATGGATGAATGTGAGTAACTCTTTTTTCTTTTCCACTGGCAATGTATACGTGTGCATGTGCTAATGTGTGGGGGCAGGGATTGATGGAGTCAACGAAATATGCCCCATCTGCACCTTAGACAGGAAAGAGAGAAAAATGGGTGAATTCCAATTTTCAGCATGAATTGAGAAGTGTGCACAGTAAATAGTAGATAGTACAAGACTTCAAAGAAGTAAACAAAAACACTTTGATTTCTTTTTATCTCCTTCCCTAGCATCTTACCTATCATCTCTGACAGTCAAGACACACACTCATAAAGGCACTTCAATAACGAGTAAAGTGGCAACATGTGCTTTCTTGCAGGACTTTTTCTTATGGTAATAACTTGAAATCATCCTGTATTCTATCATAAAGGTAGGAAGAAAGGCTACCTTTTAGGAAATTTTGAATATAGGAGATATTTTTCAAATTAGCAAGAATATTTTAGGTTCTTATTAATTTGAAAGAGTTAAAATAGAATTTGCTTCTAACTCTTCACATTTTATTTAATAAATGATGTATAAATATAATAAATAATTCTTTATAGAAATCTATCCCCCATTCTTTATCTTACTCTATATTCATTAAAAAATAATAAAAAAAAAAATCCTCTAATGTTGGTTTCTTCCATGTAATGTATCAGTTAAATGAGTGAAAAGTTCTAATACTCATTGCTGTCTGAAAATATTTTCAAACAACAAAACCAAAAATACCTATAAATGATTCTTTTCTCTTTGGGTAGTATTACATTTTTCTATAGATATTATTTCCTCTGGGTATGATCAATACATTTCTAACTATAAATACTGAAAGTACCATGGACTGCCGGAAGAATGAACAAATCTGACCTGGAAGAAGTGCAGCCTGAATGCTCCTTGGAAGCAAGACTGGCCAGACGTCGTCTTATTTACTTTGGCCATATTGTCAGAAGGGACCATTCCCTAGAGAAAGATATCATGCTTGGTAAAGTGAAGGATCAGAGAAAAAGAGGAAGGCCCTCAATGAGATGGATTGACACAGTGGCTGCAACAATGGGCTCAGGTATAGCAAGGATTGTGAGGCTGGAGCAAGACTGGGCAGTGTTTCGTTCTGCTGTACATGGGGTCACTATGATTCGGAGCTGACTTGGTGGCACCTAATGACAACAGGCTAATAAAATACTCAAAGACCAGAAATGGTTTTATCATCTTGCTCTCTTCTTCTTCTCTTTAGTCATTTGAGAAAGTTAAATATAATATTTTAGCTTGAAATAGAGTCTGTACTACAGTCAGTCAAGTCTTACAAATAAAATTCTTGGCTATAGATTTATTTATTCATTGATTTATTTACCTATTTGATTGCATGCTTAAAAACATACCTTTTTTTAGAATGTTACTTGGCAAGATGAATTGGAATTTGAACTCGATCTGTTGACTGTAATCTTTTTATCATAACATTTCCTCTCAAGAGTATACAGGTTTTCTTTTCTAGAGGGGATAATATTCTTACATGTGATCAAGAGGTTTTAATCCCTTTTATAGCAATTAAGTTCAATAGGGAGAGTCCTGTGTAAACTTAGGAACTTATATGGCCTAGGATTACCACTTGTCACTTTAACTTTGCTTTTCATGGTCTTTCTACTTGCCTTCCTTATCTGCCTAAAGATTTGCTTATCTGAATCTCCTTGAAGATGCTAACCACAGTGGTTAAGAGCTCGGTTTCTAAAGCAAAGAGCTTGGGTTCAAATCTAGGCCCTAACACTAATGGGCTTCTATGACCCTGCGTATGTTATTATAAAAGGAAAATAGGTAGAATATCTACTCACAGGGTTATTGTGAGGCTTAAATAAGATATTCAAGTAAAGGAGTAAGGACAGCACATGATAAAATTCCAGGAGTTTGCATGCTGATCATGGCTGAGGGTTGGAATGAGAATTTATAGAACCCTACGAAGGCTGAACTGATCCAAGGAAGGAAGCATGTGGGCAGGCCCATGTTCAAAATATGTGGATATGGCTGTACATAAAAAAGGTTGAAATTCTTTTGTACTGTTTAGCAATAGCCACTGCCCTTCCAGAGCCAGAATGCCTCATCACCACCTCCAGATACCTCAGTTCCTCCCTCAGACCTCCTAGCCTTGTACATGTAATCAACTGAAGGTGGTCAACCAGCACATCAAGGGTCTTCAGAGTCCTTCTCCAAATTATAATTTGGAATCTTTCTGAGAGTCAGAACCCCTGCCATAAAAGAGCATATTAGTTGTTAAGTACTTTGATTATTACTTCTGGTGTGGTAGGCTGAATAACAGTCCTCAAAGATTTCTACATCTTAATCTTAGAAACCTGACAATATGCTCTATTACATGGAAAAAGGGACTTTGTAAATGTGATTAAATTAAAGATTTTTAGATAAGGATATTATCCTGGATTATCCAGGCAGGCTCAGTGTAATTACAGGGTCTTTATAAGAGTCAAAGAAGGCAATGTGATAATGGAAGCAGTGGTCAGAGTGATGTGGCCATGAGCCAAGGAATGCAGTCAGCCTCTAAAAGCTGGAAAAAGCAAGCAATAGTCTAGTGTAGACTAGTGCCTCCAATAACTTGCCCTGTCAACACCTTGATGCTAGTCCAGTAAGATTCATTGGATTTCTGACCTCCAGAACTGTAAGAGCATAAATTTGTGTTGTTTTAGCCACTGTTTGTGGTAATTTGTCACAACAATACGAAAATAATATAGCTGAGTGAGGAATTTTTACTCTTGGAAAAAAAGGTAGAAGCAGGAAAGAAAGGAAGGGGTAAGGAAGATAGAATAAGCAACAGATGGAATTTTGTTTGTTGAATTTCTTGGGAAATGAGAAGTAGGGATGAGGAGTGTGAAGAAGAGAGGGAAATAAGATTAATGCAGTTGCCGTATGGCGTGGGACTTCAGGGATAAAAATATATAATGAGGACTTTCTAAGAAGTCTAGTATGTGCTATAAAAACTTCTTTCTAGCCTAGAAAAGACTTCATTAAGAATTAAACACGTGTGTCAAAGTTATGGAGCCAATTTGTATTTTGTTTTAATTTATAACTATGTCAACATGGGCTATAGCATGAGAGCAAGAGAGCCTAGATTTACTTGAGTTCGATAAGCAAAATAAGTTATTCTCTGTTTAGAAATAATAACCTATTGCCACCTTTACAACATAGTTTCTTTGGAGTTTTAGTAACTTCTCATTTTTCAAAATTATGATATTTTTATAATCTGGGTACAGTCAGTTCTACTATGCTTCTTTCACACTGTGAACTTGTTCCAGAATGATGGGTGTTTCAGGGAACAAGTTAGTGTAACAAATGTGTCTGTTTTGTGTGATTTAGTCTTCAAGAAGTATCTAGTGAGTGCAAATAACTATGCCCAGCTGAACTGAGTTACACAGAAACACACACATCAGACATCTACCAGTTATCAATGTTATGAGCCTCACTCATCCATAACTACTGTTACAGCTTTCCATTCCAGATAACCCTCATTCTACCACTTCTCAATAACTCACAAACAGCAATTCTTTTAACAGCCACCTCCATGAGCGAACGTCAGATCTTTTTCTAGGTATAGGGCCATATTTATTGTAGCATTTATGTATTTTTTAACCATTTAGAATGTGTAAAATATATATATATATATATATATTTTTTTTTTTTTTTTTTTGGTTCCTATCTTCCTTTTTATATGCTGGGACGTTTTTGAGTGTTGTGCCCCAAACCCCTTTTCCCTGTATGCCCTGTGGTTTTGAGTGTTGTGCCCCAAACCCCTTTTCCCCATATGCTCTGTGGTTTTTATTGTTTGATTTTGCATAGTCGGTAATTTTTAGGAATGTATATATCATACTTTAGCTTAACTGACTATATTCTATCTTGAAGTGGCCACACTTAAGCCCTAACCACAACTGGTTATATCCAGGTAAAGAGAAACACTAGGATATATGATTTACCCTTAAGAAAGGAGAAAGGGAAGAGGGGGATGATGGAGGAAAGGAGGGAGAATTAAAAGCAAAGTATTTCATATTTTTACATAGGGCTCATCTGAGCCCATGTATTTAAAAGCACTGATGCCTTCTCCTGTGGCTCTTTCTCACTGCCACAGGGGCGTGTGTCTTGTTATCTACGGGTCCCTCGGGTTCCATAATATGTTTCTGAGGTCCAGGATCCTCTGGAAATTACCTACAAAATTTTATGTTTCTGTTGGTGGGAAGAGAAAACCTTCACTTTCATCAGATTTTCAAAAGATAGGAACTACTGCTTGAGAACGGCCATGCAATTGCTGTTTTCATTTTCTGGCCTCCGGGGACTGTGAAGGGTAGCACATACCACAGTTCTTCAGCATGTGCACACCATTGTAGATGAATGTGGCAGCTCTGGGATTTCTATGTAGGAAAAGATTGGGGCCAGCAATCTTACTGGAATCCACATTTGTATAGCAAGTATGCATCCATGTTTACTTGGGGATATCTTGTAATGAAGTCACAGGCAAAGTTAGATATGCTCCTTCTGGGAGCATAACCAAGGTCATTACTATGAAATTTAGTCATCTACTCAGTAGGACTCACAGATACATTTCAGGAAATTTCTCTAATGGACTATACATAAAGAATACCTGGGCAGGAATGAGACCAGGAAATGGAATGAAGCTTCCAGCCAGAAGGGCTCACTGGAGGTGAGCAGAATAAAGGGGGAAGGAGTTGAAATCTGAAAATAACCACTGCTAGTTCATGATTGTATATGGGGAAAGCTGTGCTATGTCTAAAACTGGGACGGACATCGTTTTTGTCTAGTCCTCTTGTGCTGTCTTCATAGCTTTTCACTGTGACCAGTTGCATGTCAAATACTTCTTTCCTGCTTTCACTCCTCAGAGATAGACATTGTCATAGG